ACTCGAATCCGTTCCCTTTTACGATTATTGTCATCATCGAAATATGCAACCCCCCCCCCACTCCTATCCTCTCCGCACAACCCCAATAATTCCTTACCCCCACACCACCACCACCCCCGCAAGCCCATCCACCCCCCCCTCCAAAAAAAACTACATCCAAAATTCTCCCCAAATCTGGAATGTGAGGCAGGCAGAGGGCTCCAAGTATTTCCTGGACGGGTCCAGAGAGACAGCCCCAGAATGTACATCCCCCTCTCGCTCCCCTTCCCTCATTTCATAATCTCCAGACTTGCCGCTAACGCTCCGTCAGGGAGGGAGAATCTCTAAAGCACACGCCACGGACATCGCGTATCGTCATTCTTCGACCGTCGCCTCCAGGCAGGAACGCCCGGAGCCGTGAGATCGATTGGTGGTGCTAGGGGTCAGATGGATCGCATCATCGGCGGACTCGTGACCGATGGCGACCGCGTGGCCGGAGGTGTTCATCTAGCAGTGGATAGACATTGGCTGATGTGATGGCGAGATGTCATCTCGCTCACCTGGTATGCAGGAGGTCGTGGGTTCGATCCCGACCCTGACACCTGCTGTGCATTTGGAGTTTGCGTGTTTTCCCCGTGGTCGCGTGGATTTTTATCAGGGTCCTACGGGTTTTCCATCCGCGCTTAGAATCAACATGCGTTTATTTGGCTGAGATACATTTCCACGTGAAAAGCCACTTTGTTGAGCTATCACTTGTGGCCAAGTCACTTTTGAAAAATAGCTACTTATAGCTCAGTGGTAAAATTAAACAAATAGTAGTTGAATTCTAGATTTGAAGCTTTCGTGACTGCAAGGATCCATACTCTTTGGTTCTATTCGGTAAAGTCACGGTCCCTTCACCTGATGAAGGTCACTTGTGTTGTGGCCGAAACGTCGTGATTTTTGTTATTTTTTTTTACCTACGTGACTTTACCGAATAGAACCAAAGAGTATAAATAGTAGTTGGTCAACAATATGAACGTGTTGTGTACCCGAGAGCACTTGGTGCCCAGTGACTCTTGTCAGTTGCCAGCAGGTGGCAGTGCATCTCTCTGTGACGGGCAGGTACACGTGGCTGGCTTCGCAAGTGTTCACAAGAAGGTGTCAGGGTGGCTCAGGGAGGTTCACAATGGCCATGCCAGAATCACCGAACCCAGCACCGCTGAGGGCCTGAGTTCGAATCTGGGTTTGCTTTAAGCCAGCTGTGATTAAACTGAGTGATCAATTCGTCATTGATTATTATTTTGTGGGTCGAATCGCATCGGTAGAATGTGTGTCGTACACCCTCGACTACCCGACACGGGCAATTAATAAAGTTGTCGCGTGAACAAACGTGCCAGCTTATTATCGCTCCAGCCCACCAGTTGTGTTGGGAATAGCAATTCACAGCGTTACCAATTTTGGACAACGATTCGCAAATGGAAGCTATCCAGGGACGCTCGTGGACACAGTGTGGTGCACTGCTCCCTGTGAGCGTTCCAAATTCAAAATATATTCCGAACATAAAAACGTCAAATTTGAACAATCGTAATGTCATTTGGAGAATGTGGTTGGGCATGCGGGCTACCCAGCCAACGTCAGCTTGCCTGCTGGAGGAGCTCAATGATGGGACTTTGTCCAGATTTTCCAAGGATTTGTGAGATCCTCACACAATCCAGTCTGGTTAAACCCAGGATGGATTGTAGTGCAACCCAGCCTGTATCTTTCAGACTTGTTCCTTTAAAGGAGTCCACATTTCGCAAGCGAACACACGCGTAAACACGCATTCATATTCACACACAAACACAAATACCTGTCTGCCATTGGCCAGCAGAATTGGAATGACGTGAGGAAAATATGTTTTCCAAATGATCCTTCTCTCTCTTTTCTCTCGCTGTCCCTGTAGCTCTATCTCTGTGTGTGGGTCACTCTTTATCTCTGCCTCTCTCTATCATTATCTTTCTCTCTCTCTCTGCGTATCTTTCTCTGTGTCCCAGTCACTGTGTCTCTATCTCTCCGCGTCTCTCGCTCTCCGTCTCTCCCTGTGTCCCTCCTCTCAGACTCTCTCGCTGTCTCCGCGTCTCACTCAGCGTCTCGTCTCCCCTCTCAGCTCCTCCGTGAACCCTCCCTCTTGCGTTAAGCACAGCAGGGAAATGTCAACACCTGTAATTACTGCGGGAGACAGGAGGAGGGAAGAGGATGTGTGTGCGTGCGTGCGTCTGTGCGCACGTGTATGTGCGTGTGTGGTTTATGTGTACGTACGTGCTTCCTTGTGCGTTCGCGCGTGTGTGTCTCAACGTGCACACGTATCTGCGAGTTTGTGTCCCCGTCCTTATGTGTGTGCGCGTTTGTGTTTCTGCTTTCTTGTCCATGTGTATGTCTGCGTGTGTACGAGTGTGCGCATGTGCGCGCATGTGTGGGGAGCGGTGGCTTCGCGGTTGGCTCACTGCGCTACGATATCCGGAAAACCGAGTTCGATTCCCGCTCACGACCAATTACAGTGGCGAATATTTGAACTTGTCCCGGGCCTCTCCTAGGTCAAGTCAGCATCATATGAGTACCTGGTGCAATGTGTAGACATCACCAGAAGGGAGGCGTGGTGCTGGCCACCCATCCCCTCGTGTGACATGCCGGCCTTCATATATGCTCGCTAATAGCACTTGCTCCATGAGTCTGTTCAGGTTATACGGGGGATCGTTGTCTTTGCCTTTGCATGTACAGCAGTCTTGTAGCAGCTCGCACACTTGACCTCCACTGCCGGTGGCTCGTGTTCAATGCCTGACCAGGTTTCACGCAAAAAAAGGCAAAGATCTCCCGTATAGGCTTATAGACTGGGGTGGGAAGGGCTGCAGGTTCCTAAGAGTTGCTCGCGAACAGCACCGGCCATCTGTTCCGCGTGGTGAATGCTGTTCGCAGTGAGACCAAATCACAGACTTCGGAGGTCACCACCGGACCAGAGCAACGAAGGGAAGGGATGTAAAAAATTAGGGGGGTGGGGTGGTGGCAGGGGGGGGGGCACGGCGACCTTTGCCCAGCAGTGGGAAGTTGCAGGAAACGAAAACAATTGCAAGCGATCTCGCCAACAGCTTAGCAGGGATAAAGGCAGCCCGGACTGTCTGTGTGTGTGTGTCTGGGAGTCGTCTGGGAGTTGATGGACAGGAGGTAAGAGGGAGTGAGGGATTGAGGGAGGGAGGGAAGAGGGAGTGGGACGTCGGGGAGGGGGGGGCATTGAAATATTCTCCCGCGATGCCAGACGTGGGTGCAGCTCATTTGTCAAGATTCGGTGAGCGTCCTCTGAGAGCGCTCTCTGAGAGCGCCCTCTGAGAACGCCACGTGTCCTTGCATAAGGGCCGTGCGGCGAAGTTCTTTTTTCTCTTTTTGTTTTGTGAGATCGGATGAAGATAACTTTAATTCATTTCCGAGATGACATTTTTACGCGAGTAATTGTATACGGGGGGGGGGGGGGGGGGGGGGGGGGGGATAGAAATGTTCCCTTCTGCGGTTGGGCGTCGTGGCCAGGCTTGCGAAGCGGCGTACGTCATCAAAGCTATGGCGATGGTGGCGGCGACGATTGACGGGGGCGACGATGATGAAATGCTCGATGGCAAAAACACTCGTTTACAAGCACCGAGTTGCACGAGGGCTAGCGCACGAGATGACGATTGCGTAGGCACTGTTATCGGTTGATTGTTGCACATTATCCTTTTTGAAAAAAGTTTGTACCATTGCTGTGCTGACAAATACGTTCTTTTCGGATATCGTAAAAGTGATTTAAGTTCGAAACTTATTTCCTGCTCAAATGGACATTAAGGCAATGGTGCTCATTTTCTCTTTACAGCCCTGCAGGGCCAGTGTTGGGAACTCCACATTCTCATAGCGGTGGGGCGAGTTTACCAACAAGCATAACCACTGATGGATTCCCCACAGAGTGGTATTTATTTTACAGACAAAAGATGGGATGATGGGCTGAGTCAACCCAAATCAACCGGGAGTCGAACTCGCACACGTCCCCTTTGCGAGCCGCTCGCTCGACCGACCACTGAGCCACACCGCCGGCCACTCCATAATCATTCATCAAAACAAGAGTGCAACTCACTTGAGAGACACCGTAGCCGAGGGGGCACGTCAGCAAACAAACTGAATCTGACACGGGGGTTGGAATCCCCCCTTTTCCTCCCTGCCCTCTGCCCCCTATCACGGCCCCCACTCAGTGCATTGTGGGACAGGAATGTGAACCGCTCCCCCACCACCACCGCCTGCTCCATCATATTGCCCCCCCCCCACCCATTTTCTTATAAGAAGGTTGTGCTTGCTGTCCCTGACCCCTAAGAAGCAAACAGACGCATGGGGGGGGGGGGGGGGGGCTGGAGGGGGGGTGCACAAGGGGTGAGGGGAGTTCGCCTCAGACCTGAGGGGACCTCAGAAAGGGTCAAGGAGGAAGGTTGCCACCTGTCCTGGTTTTTCGAGGATCTTGGTCCCAGTTTGTGCACTGCACGATAACAACAATAACAGTGAGTAACAATACACCACTCAGGAAGGCGATGCGTTTGCGTGCAGTTCTCTCATCGTTCCAGTGTTCTGAGAGATTCTTCTCCCTGCGGGACGTGGCAACCCAACTCTGGGAAACTCAGAAGGCGGCTTTAGAGGTGGCCGGCGATTGTCTTAGAGTAACATTGGACGTCACGTGTCCCTTGTGCGCACGCGTGTGTCTCACTCGCCTGACGTGCGTGCGTATGCCCGGGTGTGTGCCCGTGTGTGCCCGTGTGCGTGTGTGCGTGTGTGTGTGTGCGTGTGTGTGTGTGTGCCCGTGTGTGCGCGTGTGTGTGTGTGTGCGTGTGTGCCCGTGTGTGTGTGTGCGTGTGTGTGCGTGTGTGTGTGTGTGCCCATGTGTGTGTGTGCGTGTGTGCCCGTGTGTGCGTGTGTGTGCGTGTGTGTGTGTGTGCCCGTGTGTGCCCGTGTGTGTGTGTGCGTGTGTGTGTGTGCGTGTGCCCGTGGCGTGACAGCTGATGTCCGTGCTGGCCGACGAGACGGCAGTGGAGCAGCTGATGAAGCAGGCGTCGCGCGATGCCAGGCGACCACGCAGGAGGAGCGGCATGGCCGTGCTACGGGAGGTGTTCGGACGCGGTGAGACTCGCGCGACTCCCACACGCGTACACATGCGCGCGCAACGTGTACGCACGCACACACGTGTATGTATGTGTGTACACGCACATACGTGTATGTACGTGTACACACGTACACGTGTATGTACGTGTACACGTGCACACACGTGTATGTACGTGTACACGCACACGTGTATGTACGTGTTCACGCGCGCATGAGCACGCACAACGTCTGTGGTATAAAAACAAAACCAAGACAATAACATGGGAAGAAGGGTTCCTCGCAGTCCCAGCAGATCTGGAGAGCCGCGTGAAAATGCGTTGTTTTGAGTGGTGCTTTGTTGTTGTTATGTAACTGATGAAAACCAGAAACTTTTAATGTCCCATGAAGACTCGCAGAATTCCGAGGACCGCAGCAGCCGGCAACCCTCCTCATCCCCTCGACCCCTCACTCACCTCCCCAACCACCCACCCACCCACCCACCCCTAACCTACCCCTTCACTCAGTCGCCCGCACATGAACCCACCCACCTAGGACAGGGATATCGACGTGAGGATGATCCTGGGAAAACCAGGACAGTTGGCAACCCTAGCTCACGCTCGCACTCACTCACGCACGCCACCCGCACGCGCGCGCATTCACTCGTCCGTGGTGGCGCCGGGCGCCGTCGCACGGACGCGGCGCGACGTCTCCTCCGCACGGGCGTACGCAGACGCACGCACTGTGACGCACGACAAAGACAAAGATGCCCCGTGCAGCCTTAACAGACCGTAGGGTCAAGTGTTGTAAGCGAGCGCCTACGAAGGCCGGCACGGCACACGCGGGGGGCGGGTGGCCAGCACCACGCCCGGCCGCCTTTGTCTCCCCGGTGGCGATGTTTACGCATCACACCGAATACTCATTTGAGACCGAGTGGACCTAGGGGAGGCCCAAGACCGGTTCGGATAATCGTTACCGGTGCTGGCCGTGGACGGGAATCGAACTTGGGTCGCCGGGTTCGCAGCGCAGCGTAGCGCTAATCGCTACGCTGTGCTCCTCGTACGGAGCTGTGATGCACGCACACTCGCTAATGCACACACGCACACTCACTAATGCACACATGCACACTCGCTAATGCACACACGCACACTCACTAATGCACACACGCACACTCTCGCTAATGCACACACGCACACTCGCTAATGCACACACGCACACTTTCGCTAATGCACACACGCACACTCGCTAATGCACACACGCACACTCGCTAATGCACACACGCACACTCGCTAATGCACACACGCACACTCGCTAATGCACACACACACACTCTCGCCAATGCACACACGCACACTCACTAATGCACACACACGCACACTCTCGCTAATGCACACACGCACACTCGCTAATGCACACACGCACACTCGCTAATGCACACACACACACACACACTCTCGCTAATGCACACACGCACACTCGCTAATACACACACGCACACTCTCGCCAATGCACACACACACACTCTCGCTAATGCACACACGCACACTCGCTAATGCACACACGCACACTCTCGCTAATGCACACACACACACTCTCGCTAATGCACACACGCACACTCGCTAATACACACACGCACACTCTCGCTAATGCACACACGCACACTTTCGCTAATGCACACACGCGCACACTCGCTAATGCACACACGCACACTCGCTAATGCACACACGCACACTTTCGCTAATGCACACACACACTTTCGCTAATGCACACACGCGCACACTCGCTAATGCACACACGCACACTCGCTAATGCACACACGCACACTTTCGCTAATGCACACACACACTTTCGCTAATGCACACACGCACACTCGCTAATGCACACACGCACACTCTCGCTAATGCACACACGCACACTTTCGCTAATGCACACACGCACACTCGCTAATGCACACACGCACACTCGCTAATGCACACACGCACACACTCGCTAATGCACACACGCACACTCGCTAATGCACACACACACACTCTCGCTAATGCACACACGCACACTCGCTAATGCACACACGCACACTCGCTAATGCACACACGCACACTCGCTAATGCACACACGCACACTCGCTAATGCACACACGCACACTCGCTAATGCACACACACACACACTCTCGCTAATGCACACACACACACTCTCGCTAATGCACACACGCACACTCGCTAATGCACACACGCACACTCGCTAATGCACACACGCACACTCGCTAATGCACACACGCACACTCGCTAATGCACACACGCACACTCGCTAATGCACACACACACACACTCTCGCTAATGCACACACGCACACTCGCTAATGCACACACACACACTCGCCAATGCACACACGCACACTCACTAATGCACACACGCACACACTCGCTAATGCACACACGCACACTCGCTAATGCACACACGCACACTCGCTAATGCACACACGCACACTCGCTAATGCACACACACACACTCGCTAATGCACACACGCACACTCGCTAATGCACACACACACACTCGCTAATGCACACACACACTCGCTAATGCACACACGCACACATTCGCTAATGCACACACGCACACTCTCGCTAATGCACACACGCACACTCTCGCTAATGCACACACGCACACTCTCGCTAATGCACACACGCACACACTCGCTAATGCACACACGCACACTCTCGCTAATGCACACACGCACACACTCTCGCTAATGCACACACACACACACACACTCGCTAATGCACACACACACACTCTCGCCAATGCACACACGCACACTCTCGGCGTGCGTGTGTCTAACTCGCTCAGCGACTGCGCCCACTCACGGTCTCTCTGATGACACTCCCCCCCCCCTCCCCGCTACCTCCCGCCACCCCATCTAACCCCCCCCCCCTGCCAAAATCGAGCATGTTTATTTATTTATTTGCATGTGTTTTCACTCATCCGCCCTTTCGCTGTGCGGCACACGGCTGTAATTACGCGTAATTGCACAAACAGAACTATGGCACTGTACGTAATTACCTCATTACCAAAAAGAAAAACCACAAGTAAATATAAGAAGACTGTAAATTTAAATAGGGGGGTGGGGGGGGGGAGCGGTCGCGTAGCGGTAACCCGGCGACACGAGTTTGATTCCCGGCCACTGCTAACGTCAGTGGGCGAGCGGTAACTGAACCCGCCATTGCTCAAACTCGGTGAAGTTTTTGGTCCGACAATCCTTCTGATGGACACGGCGAGCCAGGGGGGTGTTGGCGTGGGCGGTGGGTGGGTGGGTGGGGGGCCTTCATCCAGCAGTGGATTGACGCAGGGAAGCTGCCGCGGCGACAAGGTAACGGTGATGAGCGCACCGTACCCGCGCGGTGTGGCCGTCTTCACCACGGCCCGTCGACTGGCCGAGGGGGCTCTCGAGGGCTCCCTCTGGTGGAGGCCGCTCCCGCTAGGCACTGGCGTCAGACGGCAATTGTAGGGCAGTGGGCACCTTTACAAAAAGACCAAAGCCGGACAATGTTTTTCAGTGGGCCACGTAGGTACATTTTTTTTATTTAAAAAAAAAATGTGCAGTTATCCTGTGATGAAGGTTAAAACATAATTCCGGAACCACATCGCTTCCTGCCACCCGACACGCAGATGCCAGTTCCTTGAGAGTACCCGGTCAAACCTGGACACGTGGGGGGTGACCCTTCCCTGGTGGCTGCAGGGGTCATGCAAACCCGTTCCGTGCAGCAGCGACGCTCACACAGACGATTGTGCGCGTGCGTCTCCCGCGTATCGCACGGTGATGCATGCCAGGGCTCCTCCGGTTTACTCCCATAGCTAAACAAACCCACAATGCAATTGGTGTTGGCCAAACGTCCCCATCTGAAAATCGACCGGCAAAATTACTCAATTGGGATCATACAAAGACTTAGATCCCACGTATACCTTGAACAGACTGTTGGGGCAAGTGCTGTTAGGGAGCAGCTATGAAGGCCAGCACGGCACACGAAGGGGTGGGTGGCCAACACCACGCCCGGCCGCCTTTGTCTCCATAGTGGCGATGTTTACGCACCGCACCAGGTACTCCTTTGAGGCTGCGTCGATCTAGGGGGAGGCCCAGGACCGGTTCAGATAATCGTCACCTGTGTTGGCCGTGAGCGGGAAATCGAACTCGGGTCGCCCGGGTTCGTAGCGCAGCGTAGCGCTAACCGCTACACTACCGCTCCCCACCAATCAACTGGGATCACACGCAGCAGTAGCAACGTCAGCACCTACTTGCGAGCGCTTCAATAGACCTTCCTAAAGAAAAGTCGTGAGACTCAGTGAGGCTAAGAAGAAGAATCAGGAATAGCCGTGATCGGACGAGAGAAAGAGGTGGTGTGTGGCTTACAAGAGGTTTATCGATGGATCGATATTTATGAATGCTTCGAGCGAGAACAATCCAAGGACCGAACCTTTCGGCTCCCAGACAATGATAGCTGTGGAGGCTGACTGGTTTCACTCACGAAGTACAGGGTCAGTCTAGAGTTCTACATCGTTTCAAGCATCCTGCTAAACCACCACCCACACCATTATTATTATGTACAGTTGCCGGTCAGTTGTATCCACATTAGAAGAAGTGGACCCAGCAATAAGCCTCCCTGTGGCGTGCGACGCCGAGAGACATCAAGTGGGCAATGTCCTCTGGACGGTCACGAGCGCGACATCGTTAAAGAAACGCACGCACGGACGCGGCTGTAATTGTGGCAAAGTTCGGTTCACTCGCCTCTCCAGAACACCATGAGAATTGACGTCAGTCGCGAGGTCGTCATTTGTTCGGACGGAGTGAGAATCTCCGTCGCGCGCGCGCGTGAGAGAGACAAAGAGAGGGGATGGAGAGGGTTTATTATTTTATTCTCAGCCTGCCCACTCGGCGTGCCTCACCGCAGGCGACGAAGGACACGGCACAGACTGTACGTGTCGCGGGGACGCGAGCGGGGCGCTCTGACGTTGGGAGGAGATAAGAGATGAGGGCGATATGGCGAAACGGGAGCTGCCCAGGAGTGCCTTCGGTGGGGGAGGTTCTGTGTGTGTGTCTGTGGTGTGTGTGTGTGCGTACGTGCATGGGTGTGGCTTGTGGGGAGCGGTGGTGTAGTGGTTGGCACTCTGCGCTACGAACCCAGCGACCCAAGTCCGATTCCCGCTCACGGCCGACGCCAGTGCCGATTGTCTGAATGTGTCCTGGGCCTCCCCTAGGTAGACTCAGCCTCAAATGAATACTTGGCGCCGTGTGTAAACATCACCACTAGGGAGACAAAGGTGGCTTTAGTGCTGGCCACCTACCCCCCTCTTGTGCCATGCCAGCCTTTATAGGTGCTCGCTAACAGCACTTGCCCCAAGAGTCTGTTTAAGGCTACACAGGTGATCTTTAACTTTGTTGTGATTATGAGAGTGTGTGTGCACATACTTGCGTGTGGGTGCACGCTTGAGTGGCTTTAATAGGTGCTTGTTAATCGGCACAATCTTTATAGAGGGTCTTGGTGAACACGAGAGACTGTGTGTGTGAGTACGTGTGCACTTTTAGTCATGGGAGTGTGAGTCAATGTGCGCGTGGTTTTAATAGGTGCTTGCTCACAGGACTTCTCTCGACAGACTGTGCAGCCTACATGGGGATCGCTGTGTGTACGCGCTCTGAACTTGCACAATTTATTTATTATTTCTCCACCACTCCTCCCTTGAGATGAGATTAAATGACTTCCAGAAAAGGTTTCCCCGACCCTGCCATGGTAGTCCCATCAGCACGGCAAAGATCCCCCGTATAGCCTTCAACAGACTGTTGGGGCAAGTGCTGTTCGCGAGTAGCACCTTCGAAGGCCGGCACGGCACACGAGGCGGTGGCGCTGCCAGCACCACGCCCGGCCGCCTTTGTCTCCCCAGTCCCGGTGTTTACACACCGCACCAGGCAGTTATTTGCGGTCGAGTCGACCCAGAGGAGGCCCAGGGCCACTGAGGTTCGCCGTGAGCGGGAATAGAATGTAGCCACCGGGTTTGGAGCACAGTACACGAGCCACTACGCTACCACCCCCGCTGCGCTCTTAGATATACAGACGTCATTTAACGCAGAGGGGGGGGCTTTCGCTGCCAGAATTATCATCATGATCGTGATCCATAATGGATGATTGGGTCAGATCACGCGAGCCAACCGACGGTGTGTGTCGTACACCCCTCCCTCCCCCTCCCTCCACCCTGTCGACCAAACCGGTGCTACGGCCGTACACCAAATCAGTAACCGCTGTGTGGATCGTCGGTACAACACAGCGGTCGCTTTGTATCAATGGCAAAATTGGAGCGTTTGTTCAAGCGACACGTTTATTTATCTGGCTGCGTCGGCGGGTGGGGGGAGGGTGTGCGAGACGCGTCCGGGGCATTTTTGCTCACACGGGGATCTGACCAAAAAAGAATCAATCGTGAATCAGGTTCCAGCATTGTCGTGTTCAGTTGTCATGTCCCGACAGAACGACAGGTACAACAACTCGGCGAGCCACCTGCCAGGATCGTCCGCTTTTATAAGGAAGCATTGCTCGGATGTCTTCCCGGGAACATCAGTCCCTGTTGTCGTCAGCCATGGATGTATGTATGTATGTTGAACTTCTTCCGCACCGTACGTAGCCAACCATTCTCATTGGAGGTGCGTGATGGTACACCACTCAAGGCAATGCATTTACATGCTGCAGTCATGCTGTTCTCTGGTATTATTATAATGTTTGGTTTCATTTTAGAGTAACGTCATTCATGCAAGTTGCATCTCACAATCCCTGAGGAACCACAGGCAAGGCTTGAAGGCAGCAGCCAGGCAGTGGTGATCCAGCGGAAATAATTGCCCAAGTTCTGCAGTCCCCTAGATATTAAACACATTATTTGCATTGGCATTGATGCACCACAAGCACAAAGAACAAAAAAAACTCAACATATTCGTGAATAGTTAAGTACTATGCGTATCTATTCAAATGTTTTCAGTCAATTAATAATGAGTGTTTACGCGTGGAATATTCGGGTCATATTGTTTCCTGCGTTTTCCTGAGCCAGCTGGGCCGGGATTAGGCAAGAACCGGAGAACACACACTTCGATTTTTCTTGACTTTTCGCTTTTACAACAACAATCACGTGTAGTTAACAAGGCACAGTTCAAAAGAACAAAGAACAGATATTCAAGCGAGAAGAATAAGAATGAAAACAAACAAACTTGAACTTTAAATCTCATCAATAATTCCCATCTTGTCTGACAGTTCTTCTTCTTCTTCTTTGGTTCTTTCGGTAAGGTCACGTAGAATGAGAATAAAATATTAAAATAACACAATAAAATTCTCACGACTTTTTAGCAACAACGCAAGCGGCCGTCTTCAGGTGAAAGGTACAGACCTGTCGGGACGACAGAGCTTCCATTGAAGCCAGCTGAGCCGGGATTCAATGGAAGCTCTGTCGTCCCGACAGGTCTGTACCTTTCACCTGAAGACGGCCGCTTGCGTTGTGGCCGAAACGTCGTGAGAATTTTATTGTGTTATTTTATTATTTTATTCTCATTCTACGTGACCTTACCGAAAGAACCAAAGAAGATGAATCCTTGCAGTCACGAAAGCTTTAAATCGAAATTTAATTCTTCTTCTCCTCACAAATCCGTCACCGATGTTTCGTAGAGGCGGCAGGCGTAACAACGAGGCGGATCGAAACGCACTGCGCTCCACTGCTGGATGAGCACGTGTGGATCGAGAGGCAAAAAGCCGGCACGCGGTGCTGTGGGGTTCTCACAGAGTGCGGAGGAAGTTGGTGTTAGGCGTCGTCCCAGGCATCAATCCTGGCCGGTGGGGGTTAAAAAAAAATCCGGTTCACAAATACAACTTCAGATCGAATTTCGGTTTCGATTGCAACGGTCTTTAACGAGTCTGTAATTAGCTTCGCTAATTAACCGTGCAATTACGATCGCGCTTAGTCCTGCTCGGGGGATCGCCAGGTGTCGTGGGAAAACTAAATCTCCGTCCGTGGCTCCGAGAAGCGTGGGTTGTAGGGGGCGATGGAGCCCCCCTGGGGGTTAGGAGAGTGAGTAGGTGGGCGCGCGGGCGGGCGGGCGGGCGGGAGAGAGGTGAGGGGAGGAGAGATGGGAGCGAGGTTGGAGAGTGGAAAAACTAATTATCAGGAGTGTAACTTGACGTGCGTGCATGCCGGTGTAGTGCAGTGGTGAGCGCACTGCGCTTCGAACCAAGCAGCCTGGGTTCGATTCCTGCTCACGGCTACCACCGGTGACGATTTTCTGAACCGGTCCTGGGCCTCCCCTAGGTCGACTCGGCCTCAAATGAGTATCTGGTGTGGTGTCTAAACATCGCCACGAGGGAGACAAATGCGGCCGGGCAACAGTATGTTAAGGCTATATGGGGGATCTTCGTCTTTGTTTTTTGTGGGTGTATGTGCACGTGCGTTTGACACATGTGAATATGTTTGCGTGTGTGTGTCTGTCTTTGCAGGTGTTCTAAATTGACCGTGTATTGCTGTGTCTGTATTTGTCTAACTGACTTGAGTCTGTCTTTGTGTTTTAAACTGATTGTGGGTCCGTGTGTGTGTGTCTGCGTGTCTTTGCTGAATGCCTATAAAGCTAACCACGTGTATGTCTGAGTGTGTATGTCTGTGCGTGTGTCTATGTCTTTTGGCAAAGCGGACCATGTGTTTATCTGTGTGTAAAGACTGCGTGTGTGTGTAAGCAGTGGCATAGTGATTGGCACTTTCCGCTATGAACCTGGTGGCCGAGTTCGATTCCTGCTCGCGGCCAACACTACGCAGTGACGATTATCTGGACCGGTCTTGGGCATCCCCTAGGTCGACTCAGCCTCAAATGTGCACCTGGTGCGATGTCTAAGACATCAGCACTGGGGAGACAAAGGCGGCCGGGCGTGGTGTTGGCCACCCTCGCGTACCATGCCGGCCCAAATAGAAGCTCACTAACAACACTTGTCCCCAACAGTCTGTTGAGGCTATAAGGGGGATCTTTGTGTGTATGTGTCAAACTGACTGTGTGTGTGTGTCTATGTGTGTATGTGTGTGTGCGTGTGTTTTTGCAGGTTACATCGCGTTGTGGCTCTGTCCCTGCGACTCTCCCCCATCAGAGACCGGGTACAGCCACGTGCCCGACCACGACGTCTGAGCGGACTCTTGTTAGCGAGCCGCCTGCCCACAGGCGCCTCCCACCACGCACGCACACAACGACAACAACAACAACAAAGACAACAACGACAACAACAACAACAACGACAACAACGACAACAACGTTCGCAACGGCCGTCAATCACCACTAAGTGGCGGTGATGTCACCGCCACTGATCTTGCAATGGCGCTCGTGCCAGGCTCGGTGCACTTTAGAGTCCTCTCCTATCCCACGTGCTTCAATGCATTTCGGATGCATGACGAGCGGTAACATAATGCCACGTGGATTCAGAATTTGTATTTTATACTGGAGGAATGCAATGCGTGTGAATGCACCCATCGATCGGTTATTCTGCACGTGCGTACATTTTATGCAAACGATTCCTGCGGGGCTACCGATCAGGGCGGGCCAGGCGGGCAGTGCAAACGACACGACAGACGTCAGAACACAACAGTACAGACGGGACATCCAGTAGACGCAACGGAGTGAAGAGCATAGCAGTTGGGACATCCAGTACAAGGAGACCTTGAGACTCGGTGATTCACGCCCGGGTAAATGAAGGCAATCATTGTTGCACGCTGGGGTCTGTTTCACCTCGTACAAATACAATGACACTCAGGCCCTCCGGCCTAGTGGCCTTGCGAGGCGTGCTACTCCTCAGTCGCATTCATTTCAGCAGCAAACTCTGCACCGGTTTGACTTCTCTGCGTCTCATCGGCAGGGAGTTGCCAGTTAGACAGAATCCTACCGAGATCTTGTGTGATGCTGTAGGAATGCTTCAGGGACATCCCTGACACAAGTCTGAATCTTTGCCAGTGACAAAGACATCAGACTTGGGAGTCGGCTTCAATGCAGTGATGTCACTTAGAACCGGACTGCGGCTTGCGACAGTAGAGTACTAGCAGCAAGTACATCTTGCATGTGTTAGCTGCCAGGGTGTGTTCGCAAAGTATGCCGGTGGGGTGTCTAATTAGACCCCCTTGATTATCTTCTGCAATTCATTGGATCGTAGGGCCGGTGTGAGTGTTGGTGATTTTTTGTTGTTTTAAATCAGCCAGCTGGATGAAGGCCTCCCCACCCCACCTCCATCCCTCGCATCCCCGCGTTTCCTCATGCACGCACGCGAACTCGACTCATCTCGTTGCTCCATCTCCTCCGTGGGGGTCCTCTCGGGAGGGGGGGGGGTTCTCGCCCGCCGACCACCATCACGTTGCGATGGTCGCGCCTCTCGCCCAAGCCCCTGCGCGGCTTCTCCTGCGGCGTCGACGGGGAATTGCGCTTCTCTCCCTACTTTTTTCCCCGACCCGAGCGCTCCACTTTCGAGTCTCTCGGTGCCATTCCCTCGCCTCGCCGCGCTCATTTTCTTGCACTTCTCCGCCGGCGGCGGGCACCTGTCAGTGGACCTAGGCGAAGCGCACATTCACATGTCGCACGACAGAGCTCCAGCGGCCTTTGCGTACACGCGACCGGGAATTGAACCCTGGCCGGCGTGCTGTGTGGCTAAAGCACCGCGCGACTGCTCCCCCCCCTCCTCTCCTCTCCTCTCCTCCCAAACCACATGCGCCCGCTCGCAGGACCGCCAGGCACCGTCAACATGGAATTAATTTGTCCGAGTGAGTTCAATAATCTGCGTCATGATTGCATCCAACTGCTCCACCCGTCCCGGCCTCTTGAGTCGACGACGGCCGCCGCCTCGCACACGGCGGGCACAAGGCGCAGCCCCTGCAAGCGCTCGCTCGCTCGCTCGCTCGCACGCCGCCCCATGGGCGGACGGCCATTTTAAGGCGCAGGGGAGGACGAGAGAAACGTGCCGTGCCGTGGAGACGGAGTGGAACCACCGACTTTGTGGATCGCGAGTCCCAAGGTGACAACCATCGCAGCGCGTCAAAACTCGCGTCTGAAAGAGTGCGGCCTGCCGTCTGTTGCTCTTCGAGGGAGGGAGAGGAGGAAGGGAGAGGGGGAGAGACTCGCAGCCTGAAGCAAACCAAACAGCTCTCTCGTAGGTCGTGAAATTACAACAATTACAGTAATGATTTGCAGCCCCTGTTGTCCATTCATTCTGCCCAAACGCTCTCAGCCACGTGGGTTGTTTGACCATACTTCACCATGCTGGTCGGTGCTGATTGGTCAAGGAGGGATGGTTTAGGTATCGCGCCGGTAAGCCGTGACTGGAAATCGAACTCGGGTCACGGTGATCAGAGGGCAATGCGCCAATCACTGGGCCAAAGCCGTTTCACCCCAGGTAATGGAATAACAGACGAAAATAAATTAATAAATGCCTCTATCAATAAACAGAGAGCAGGGTCGAGCCTGTTAATTATTGCTTGGATGGGAAATTTCATGGAAATACCACGGAGTTGTAGACTTGGACTGCAAGGTTTTCCAGGCTGGGCAGTGCAGCAGCGGATTAATGAATCCATCCTCCACTGCGTTGCATCAATAATTTACGTGTTTGTGTAGGAGAGCCACGCTGCGTTGCAGCGCTTTTTCCGGAGGGTTCTGCATTGGGTTTTTATTTTTAAATGTTTGCAGCTAATGAACGATGAGTGTCCATACACATGGGAGGAAACCGGAGCTCCCGGAGAAAATCCACGCATGCAAGGGGGCAACGCTCTATCCCCATACAGATGGAAACTGATGGCGATTAGTCCACCCGCTGTCCCGCCTTCTGGCAAGCCAGGGTATTGAACATCCTCGACGCTGACCGGCATGGCGTTTCACAATATCTATGCGGTGATCCACGAACAAGCCAGCGGAAGCACAACACCATCTCATCCCGTCCAATACAGAAACTATCATATCTTCTCTTTATATATATGTGTGTGTCTTGAACACGGTTCGCTGAGCGCAGGCCGAATGGCACAGAAAGTCAGGCAGCCAGCAACAAACGGCACTCATCAAAGTTGTTACAATGTAAGAATATAACGCGTTTCTTGAATTGAGCGAGGTTGTTTTTAGAGCCATGGTGGCAAAAGAGACGACGGAGAAGTGTTGTTACCTGTGGTGTGGTGAGTGGGCGGGTGAGTGAGTGAGCGGGTGAGTGGGCGGGTGAGTGAGTAGGTGAGTGAGACGAAACTCAGAGTGAAGTTCATGGGAGCTGTAACCATGTTAGTAGCGATAGAAGAGTGTTAAGGAGCCGACTGTCCGCTGAAGGGTGAGTGACTGGGGTGAATCGGTGAGTGCTGGCTCATCAGTCAACCTGCCTGCTTCCTCTGCGTTGCATCAAGTGCAGTGAGCTAGGAACGGTGTCGCCCACCCCAGATGCGGCAGCAGTAATATGCAAGCAATCGAGAAGCATTCAGACAGGAACTTCTTCTTTCACGGCACCTACGCACGGATCCCTCGTCTCGTGTACGGTGCCTTAGTGCGGCTCGGAGATCTTCGTCCATCTCCGCTGCGTCCCAATAAATCGCGATGCGCACGTTGCAATGTACTGTAGACGCATTGTCTGGCTGACCGGTTATGGGCTGACGAGCGGTTAATGCGACGGACAGAGCCCCGTGGAAGATAAGCGACCCGACACGTGTTGTCAACACCACCGTGGCTTGAAAAGGACACAGAACATAACCGGTGACGTTTCGGACAATTTCCCTTTCTTCACTTGCGTGTTAATGATGAAGGGTCGTTACCCGAAACGTCACCGATTACATACTTTACCGTTTAGGGACACGGTGTTGTAACTGACGTATGTGTTACACGAGTGTTGTTGATAACCGTGTTTGTGCACGACTGCCATCATCAAATACAGGGTGCTTTCAAAAAATGTTCACTTATATGGGACTATCGTTTTGAATGGAAAAAGAACGGATAATAATACACTGTAACATCACAACAAATGTAAGTATGTTAATAGCGTCAACAAGTCACTCTCCACTTAAATTTCGATTTAAAGCTTTCGTGACTGCAGGGATTCATCTTCTTGGTTCTTTCGGTAAAGTCACGTAGAATGGAAATAAAATAATAAAATAATAAAAATAAAACAATAAAATAAAATTCTCACGACGTTTCGGCCACAACACAAGTAGCCTTCTTCAGGTGAAGAAACATGACTGTCCAGAAGACAGCGCTTGAGTGAACACTGCGAAGCAGTCCGAAGCAGTGTTCACTCAAGCGCTGTCTTCTGGACAGTCCTGTTTCTTCACCTGAAGAAGGCTACTTGTGTTGTGGCCGAAACGTCGTGAGGATTTTATTTTATTATGTTTTATTTTTATTATTGTATTTCCATTCTACACTCTCCACTTGTTCGCCATCATTGTCAACACATGCCTCGAAACTTTTTGAACCGCCCTGTATATTTTGTTGATTCCATGGAGGAGATCCTCCACTGGGGGCGTCTCCCAGATTCTCTTCCACGACGGTCCCCGCTGCACGTGTCCGATCTGTTTGTTTTTTTGAAAACACCGCTTCGCAACACGGGATTTGTGGGGCGACGCTCAAAACGACACCGCTCACAAAGGTTCTGCGCTGATGGCTTCACCCCGCATGCTGCACTGCCCTCTCCGAACCTGCCTCGCGAACTTGAGGGGGGGGGGTTCACTGATCCGTACGCGGTCCGCCAACCCTAGCCTACATATCTCTGGATGATCGCAGGTGCGTCGCGTGCGTGACTTTGAGTCGCGGCAAGTGTGCGCCATTTATATATGACGGGGAATGTATTTATTGCCGAATTCTTAGATTTGGTGCTGGGATGATTTGGGACCGGGAGGTGTGACGCATGTTTGCCGCTATCGGTTTGTTTTCGTGTCGTTACCCCCAAAACACCACCACCACCACCTTCTTACCTTTGTCACGAAACGAAGACGGTTCCATTCTCAAGGGTCTCGGTGAGCAGTGCACTACCCCGTGTCAGAGAACGAGGTGACGTCACGGAACTACCACTGAGGCTATTTCCATTGCCTCCGATCCACGTGGAGTGTTCCAATTTGTTCAGATCCTCACAGATGGAGGAGTTTGAGCAAAAGTTAAGTGAACGAGCGAATGTAATGCTGGGAGGTTTTTTTTTTGTGTGTGCGCGTGTTCAGGCAACGGTGGCTGGGCTGAGACCATCAGCTCCCGCGATACTTGAGAACCCGGTTTAACCACAGGCGGTCGAAACGCGGATTCAAGTTTAATATCAGTTTTAATTGTTTAAGCAGGTGGCAACTTAAGGGACCAGTATAGTCTCAATTTGCAAGACTGTCCTGGGGCTTTAGCCTGCCAGTAGGCGGCTATGATCGCCATAGTGTATAATCCCAGTTGCGCCATTTGCAGTTAGAATTTTTGAAAATTAGGACCCTGACGTCGGCACCCAATTGGCCGACTCTTGCGATTGACGGGCAGGGGATCCTTAAAAGTCCACCGGTCATCACACGCCGCAGTATTAACCGGGGCGGCCGCTTTTATCTGAACCGTGAACCTCTGTGACAGTAATGCGGCACCGCGAGGCCGCGCCACCGGCCGGATTCGAACCCAGGGTCTCGGCGACACAGCCAAACAGCCACCTGTATGCTATCCATCCTTGTTCAACTCTTTTACGTATATATGTGTGTGTGTTTTTAAGGGTATTTATTGTTTTTGTTCCAGCAGCAGCAGTAGTAGTAATGCCGCTTGCTGTGCGTGGAATGTGGGTGTTGTGTTTATTGCGTTTTCTTCACCGAAACAACTCCGATTATGGTCAACTCCCCCCCCCCCCCCCCCCAATGGCTCCTTGCGCCTTTAGGTTCGTCTCGGCGCTGGCGTGCACGTTACTTTTTTGTGTCACCGGTCGGTGTTTGAAGTGACGGGACGGACGATATAACAAACACCGGCGGTTGTTACAATCGGGGGAGAAACACGTGTCCACGGTAGAATGATCGTTTGCTTTGTTTCAATAAATTAATCTTCTCCACTCTCAGACTCAAATGTCGTGTCGCGAGTCTTACGAATGCCTGTGCGATACTAATAATTATAAACTGGCAGCAATTCTTGCGTGGTGAAGTATGGTCAATCAGTGGCTCGTTAATCATTGGGGTGGGGGGAGGCGGGGTTGGTAAAGGAATCCGGTTCCGGCATCACTCGCCGCCGATGTTAGCCATGGCCAGGGAGTCGAAGTCGGGAGGCCGGGTTCGCAGCTCGGTGCGTTCACCGCCGCATCACCGCTCCGGTTGTCTTGTATCAGACAGTGTAATCTACAGTCATTTGCTACTGCTGTATGAGGGCCTCTTCATTTCCTCTCACCCCGCCCCTCTGAAGGTTCGAGTTTCCAAACGTCAGCCTCGAAACCTTAATGACTTGGAGAAGATCTGCAAAGAGGAGTGGGACAAAATCCTCCAGAGATGTGTGCAAACCTGGTGGCCAACTTCAAGACACGTCTGACCTCTGTGATTGCCAACAAGGGTTTTGCCACTAAGTACTAAGTCATGTTTTGCAGAGGGGTCAAATACTTATTTCCCTCATTAAATTGCAAATCAATTTATAACATTTTTGACATGTGTGTTTCTGGATTTTGTTGTTGTTATTCTGTCTCTCACTGTTCAAATAAACCTACCATTAAAATTATAGACTAATCATTTCTTTGTCAGTGGGCAAACGTACAAAATCAGCAGGGGATCAGATACTTTTTTCCCTCAATGTATGAAGGGCTGGCAAGGCACACGACGGGGTGGGTGGCCAACACCACGCCCGGCCGCCTTTGTCTCCCTCGTGTTGATGTTTACACACCACACCCGGCCGCCTTTGTCTCCCTCGTGTTGATGTTTACACACCACACCACGCCCGGCCGCCTTTGTCTCCCTCGTGTTGATGTTTACACACCACGCCCGGCCGCCTTTGTCTCCCTCGTGTTGATGTTTACACACCACACCACGCCCGGCCGCCTTTGTCTCCCTCGTGTTGATGTTTCCACACCACACCACGCCCGGCCGCCTTTGTCTCCCTCGTGTTGATGTTCACCGCTACGCCAGGTACTCATTTGAGGCCGTGTCAACTTAGAGCAGGACCCTGGACCGGTTCAGATAATGGGCGCTGGGTGTTAGTGACCGTGAGCGGGACCCACACGACACGCACGACACACACGACACGCACGACACACACACACGACACGCACGACACACACGTGCAGAGAGACGACAGCACCAGCTTGTGTAACAGTTCTTTATAATGATGATAGTATGGCATACTTAAAAGCAGTGCTTTATAAAAAAAAAAAACAAATAGGCTTCCTAGATAGGGTAACATAACAATAACGAGAGTAGCAATAGTATTGCCTATATTACAACAACAATAATATTAGACCTTCACAGAAGGATAATCGGGCGCTCATATTGCCCCCTGCCCCGACCGGCATCTGACTCGGCACCACGCCTGCTCCGTGCCGCCCTCGCCCCCTCCTCCTCTCTGCGATGGAGAAGAGGAGAGGGAGGGAGGGGGGGGCAACGTTTCGGGGCCCGGTCCACACGCAGCGACTCGCAGCGACTTACACGGCCGGTGTCGCACAGTAAGCTCAGGGCTTGCCACCTATCCTGGTTTTTTTTTCCAGGATCGTCCCTCCTTTGGCGAGGTAGCTATCCTGGGATATCTGTAGATCTTAGTGGGTGGGTGGGTGAGTGAGAAGGTGAGAGGGTGAGAGGGTGAGAGAGTGAGAGGGTGAGGGAGTGAGAGGGTGAGGGAGTGAATGAGTGAGAAGGGGTTGCCCCACCTCTACTGGTTTTGGCAGAATCATCTTCTTGTCGAGGAGGCAGATGCTCTCCTGGGGAAATCTGTCATAAGCCTTGCTCGGGACATTAAAAGTCAACCAGGACATTCAAAGTCGTGGTTCTTTGTCAAACTATTTTTGGTGATGCTGCCGCATTTGCAGTGGTGCACAAGCACAATTCACACAATAAAAACCTCCAACACATTCTCGTCAATAACGCCGTGGCCTTAAAAGAAAAAAAAATAGAGGTGACATTTCAGGCAATGACCATTCATCATAGCACGTGCAATAATGTTCATATCTTTTTTAAGGCCACACTGTTATTTACGAATGTGTTGAGATTTGTCCAGGCTTGGGGCAAATTGTTTTATTGACGAATCGAAACTGGTGCGCCGAATTTTTGCCGTTTAATTTCCCTCTCGATCGTGACCCAGTGTCGAATTTTGAAAACTCCGATTCGTTTCCTTGCGCCAGTCCAACCAGCTTTCTCATTTGATCGAAACGGGTTTTCTGGTCTTCACAAAAGCCACCGCCGTAAATGTTGAAGCTTCAAATTGCGTGCGATTTTTTTAGAGTGTATTTTTTAGAGTTTATTATTGATTTATTTTGTAACCGGCTCGCTCGACAGCGACTGCCGTGGAAACTGGGAACCATGTCGCGTCGTCAGTTGCCGCACGTGTGTAGACCCCCCCCCCCAACCCCGAGCGCACACGCGAACACACACGGCACAGATACACACCACCCCTCCTCGTCTACCGCAGCAGCAGCAGCACTCGTTACGCCCACCCCCCTCTCCCGATAAACATGACGACGTCTAGCCAACGTTGGTGCCGCGTGGTTTGGAACCGTTGGCCCAACGTTGGCCCAACGTCAGCCATGTTTACTGGGCTAATGCAAGGCACAGCTCAAAAAAGGTTACACTAAAACTTGTGAGGTAGTCCAACAATTTGTTATATAACAAAAACAATAATTTAGTTTTGTTTCACTTTGTCGTCGTTTGTTAATAGAGGTTATTTTTTTTTACTCAACAGCTAAAGACGTCGGTTTTTCCTTTCGTTAAATTATTAAACAGTTTTTTTTAGTAGAACTTTTCATTAAAATATATATAACGTAATATATTATTGTTAAATTATGTATTACCA